TCTTCCTGACCCGGCCCCTCCCTGACCCGGCCCCTCCCTGACCCAGCCCCTCCCTGACCCGACCCCTCCCTGACCCGGCCCCTCCCTGACCCGGCCTCTTCCTGACCCGGCCCCTCCCTGACCCGGCCCCTCCCTGACCCGGCCCCTCCCTGACCCGGCCCCTCCCTGACCTCAGGACCCAGGTCCTCGGGTGGCCCAGCTTCAGACGCTGAGCGGCTCTGGGGACAACGGGCCCAGGAATCATGAGTGCGAGTGCATGTGAGTGAATGTGTGCATGTGCGAGTGCATGTGTGTGCATGTGAGTAAATGTGTGCATGTGAGCAAATGTGTGCATGTGCGAGTGCATGTGTGTGCGCATGTGAGCAAATGTGTGCATGTGAGCAAATGTGTGCATGTGTGAGTGCATGTGTGTGCATGTGTGCATGTGAGTAAATATGTGCGAGTGCATGTGTGTGCGTGTGAGTAAATGTGTGCGTGTGTGAGTTCATGTGTGTATATGTGAGTAAATGTGTGCATGTGTGAGTGCATGTGAATGCCTTGTGGTATGTGCATGGGCATGTGCGTATGTGTGCGTGGCTACACGTATACATGTATGTTTGTGGGTGCGTGCATAGGGTGGCAGGGGAGGCGGGCAGCGTGGGGACACCGTGAGAGGCAGATGGCAGGAGGAGGCATGAGGACACGGTGAGAAGTGGATGGGGAGGCAGGGAGCCACGGTGAGAAGCGGGTGGCGGGTGGGAGGCGTGCACACACGGTGAGGGGCAGCCAGAGGGCGGGAGGCGTGGGGACACGGTGAGGGGCGGGCGGCGGGCGGGAGGCGTGGGGACACGGTGAGGGGCGGGCGGCGGGCGGGAGGCGTGGGGACACGGTGAGGGGCGGGCGGCGGGCGGGAGGTGCACACGGTGAGGGGCGGGCGGCGGGCGGGAGGTGCACACGGTGAGGGGCGGGCGGCGGGCGGGAGGTGCACACGGTGAGGGCGGGCGGTGGGCTGTAGATCACGGTCCTGTCCCCCGTCCCCGCCGAGCGCATCCTCGTAAAGACGCCAGCGCCCGCGCACGGCGGCCACAGACCAGGCGGCTCTGGCTCCGGCGCCCTCAGCCGGGCCGGCCGACGAGATATGCAGCCCCATCTGCGCTGGAGGAGCGGGCATTCCCGCCGGGCGCTCCGTCTGGGCACACACCCCGCCCTCCGCAGCGGAGGCCGGACACAGCCCACCCCCGGGCGGCTCCTAAGACCGCCGAGCCCTGGGCTGGCCGAGCCGCCTGCCTGGAGGCCGAGGAGGGCACTGGGCTCTCACCTGGACGGGTGCTGGGGGCCCATGGCTGCCCCCGCGGGTGCCCGCTGCTCCCTCTGCTCCCCAGCCCAGAGCACCTTCCCTGCGGCCTCAGGTGACCTCAGGTGACCCGGACGCAGCGGGCCGCCCACGGCCTGTCCTGTTGGGGGAAGACGCCGGCCTGGGCCCGTGTCCAGGGGGAGGGGCAGGAGGACGTGCGGCCGCCCATCCTGGGCTCTGGGTGGGCAGGGCCCCCCCCCCCCCCCCCCCCAGCAGGCCTGGCCCACAGGAAGCGGCTCCCGGCAGCCCGGGGACCCTCCGCCTCCCGCTTCCTGTGTGGAAACGGCTGGACCCGCCTCTGGAACACAATGGGGGAAGGGAGGTCGCCGTCCAGTTTCCTGTTTGCTGGGCGCAGACGTGGGACAAGCCCCGCCCCGGCTCAGGCACCCGGGGGGCAGGGCAGGCTGTCCCAGGAGCGGCTGCCCCCCCCCAGGGGCAGGGCGGAGCCAGGGCCTCAGATTCCCCGGGAGGTGGCCATGCACGCCCAGCTGGGGGGGGCTGGACCCCACAGCTGGACGGCGGAGGGATGAATGAAGCCCTGCCACCGGCCTCAGGGAGGCGCCAGGGTCCAAGGGGAGGGCAGGCAGTGGGCGCTGGTGTGACCCTCACCTCCGGCTCCCAGGCTCCTCCCCCTGCAGGGCTCAGGCCCAGGGGGAGCCCACCCCCGTCTCCCCGGGGCACCCATCAGGAGAGGGCAAGGCCACACCTGGCATCCCTGGGCCAGCGCCAGGGCCAGCGCGGGGGGTCAGCACGGGGGCCAGCACCGGGGCCAGCACGGGGGCCATGGCTGGGGCCAGGGTCAGCGCTGGGGCCAGTACGGGGGCCAGAGCCGGGGTCAGCACTAGGGCCAGAGCTGGGGCCAGCGCCGGGCCCAGCTCAGGGGCCATTGCCGGGGCCGGGGTCAGCGCCGGGGCCGGGGTCAGCGCTGGGGCCAGCTCCGGGTTCAGCATGGGGGCCAGTGCCGGGGCCAGCACGGGGGCCAGCACCAGGGCCAGCGCGGGGGCCAGCGCCGGTAAGAGCAGGGCTGGGGCCGCGGGCAGGTGGCAGGCTCCAGGGCAGTGGGCTGTCTTCCAGCCTCACTGTCTCTGCGTCCCGTCCCCAATATCCCTGCCGCCCGCCCCTCACCATACCCCGCGGACATCACCCTTCACCGCCCGCTGTGGGCACTGACCATGGAGGAGGCAGGGCCTCACCCGCCCTGAGGCTGCACACTGCTCCCCGGCCTGGATGCGGCCCAGGAGGAGGCGTCCGGACCGGGGACCCCAGGGCCCTGGCCGTGGGTCAGCTCCACCTGCCGGACAGCGGCTCAGGGCCTGCTTCCACGGCCCCGCCCCCGCCCAGCCTGACCCTGCACGGCCTGCCTCCCCCATGGCCTCCGGGCCAGCCCGGGCGGCAGGGGCAGAGCAGGCCCGGGCTCGCCGAGCACTCAGGGGGCACGGTGCCCGGGGGCCGGTCCATGGCCGCGTCCCGCACGGCCCAGCCGGGCCAGCCTGCTCCCGCCGGCTCCCAGGCCCTGCCCCAGCCGCCCCGATGGTCCTGCCCCGCCGTCCGCCGAGCCGTCCGCCGAGCTGTGAGCCCGGACTGTCCCGCCGGGAGGGGCTCCAGTGCCGCCGGGGCTGTCTCCCCAGATGCTTCCCGGCAGGCCTCACTGCTCCCATCCATAAAATGGGCGCCTGGTTCCCAGCCATAATGACAGGCCACGGGCTTTGATGTCCCAGATGAAAGCCGTCTGCTGGGGCCCAGGACAGGCCCCCTCCAGACGCAGGCCCGCCTCCCAGCTCCCTCCCGGCTCCCTCCCCGGCTCCTGGCTCCCGGCAGTCCTCCGTCAGCCGCCCCAAACTCAGCCGGGTCCTCTCCGGGAGGCCCCATCCAGGCCCCCGGGGGGGGGGTCCCGCCTGGTGCCTCCGGGCTGGTGTGACCGGGCCCCACAGGGAGGGGCAGGGCGGGGCTGGGCCCAGGCGGCTCGGGGCCGACCCTCAGGCCCCGTGAGGACGGTGCCCGCCTTAGGCGGAAGGGGGCCCAGGAGGCACTCGGCAAACCCAAGGGCTGTGGGCCTTGGGCTGCTTCCGGCCAGCTGGACCCTCCGTGAGGCGCAGCCTCCCTCCTCCCCTCCCTCCCCCCCTCAGCAGCCACCCAGCCACCCAGGCCCGCCGTGCACCCACACGGGGAGCAGCAGTGACTCAGACCCCCTAGCCAGTGCCCCTGGGTGGGGGACAGGCCAGACCACACAAGGGGGGCGCACCTGGAGGGGCCAGGGCAGCAGGGCCCCCACTCACTGCCTGGAGGGGAGGCCAGACACAGGGGCTGCTCGGAGTGCAGGACACACACACACACACACACACACACACACACACGGGGACTGAGGTTCCTGGAGCCTGGCCCGGGCCAGCAGCTGGGCAGCACCATGGTGGCCGGTCAGGCCTGTTAGAGCGCCTGAGGCTGAGGGTGCAGGTGGGGCGACCCCAGGAGGCCCCAACACCAGGGGCGGGGCGCTGGGGACAGTGACCCCAAAGGGTCCAGGGGCCCCATCCTCTAAGGATGAGCCCCAACCCCAGGCCCCGGCGGGGCGGGCTCCTGGGCCCTGGGCCTTGGCGTGTCCTCAGGGTGCCTGCTGCCAGTCCTGGAGAGGTCGGGGGGAGGGGGAGGAGGAGACCGGGGTCCTCTAAGGGCACCCCACCCCGGCCTCGGTTTCCCCAAACAGAACCCTGGGAGCCGGGAGCCAGCAGGAATCAGTTTCCCCACAGCCCGGCCCGGCCCCTCACCTGTGGCTGGGGCGGGAGACCAGGAGGTGGGTCACCTGCCAGGCGGGTCCAGCTCGGGCTGCAGGGCTGGGCCGAGGCGTCCCCTGCTGTCCCCAAGCCCTCGGGCCCCGGACGCCGCCCCCACCCCCGGGCCTCGGCCCTCGGAGGGGACTCAGAGCCACAGACAAACCGATGCGTCTTTTATTCACAAACAGGAGCCACGGGGAGTGTGGTCCGCACGTTTGTACAAAGGGGTGTGCGCCCAGAAAAACGCACCCCGGTCAGAAACCAGCCCCCGCCCCCCCCCCCCCCCCCCCGGCTGCCCGGGCCCGAGAGCCCCGCCCAGGGCACCGTCGTAGAAAACGTAAGAACGTGGATCCTTTGTCTTCGGACGCCCTGCCAGCGCCGCGTCCATAGGCAAAACGGTACAAAAATACGGGCCTGGCAGAGCCGTGATGGACCCGCCCCCACGTCTGTGCGGGGGTTTGCTTTTTGCTGTGGTTTTGGTAAGAATTCCTGCCGTGGAGAAGGTGCCACGTGACGTGGGCTCGGCCCTGGGCACTGCCTGCCGGGTCCTGGGACGGAGCAGTCCTGGGGCGGGCGGGCGGGCCCTGCGGGCGTCCGGCAGAGGGACCCGGGACACAGCTGGCCCCACAGCCACGCCCGCCGCCACGGCCACGCCCGGGGCCTGGCACTGTGGCTGCTGGTGTCTGGAGTCCTTAGCACCAAAGTCAAGGACGAGAAGTCCAGTTCCCGTTAAAGGCACTTGCGTTGCTGTCCGGGCGGCCTCAGTCCCCTCGTCACCTGCACACTCGCCCTCCGCCCACGCCCCGCCCTCGTGTCCATCAGCTCCAGCCCCCGTCCTGCACGGGGCCCCGCATCCACGTCCCCCCGCCCCCACATCCTCCTCCGCCCGCCCGCGCCCCTCACACGTCCACCTCCTGCGGCCCCGGGGCGGCCGGGCCGGCCGCACGGACGTCGAAGCAGGTGACCATCATCACGTGGGCCTTGCACAGGTTCACGTGCTGCTCCAGCGCCGCGGTGGCGCGCTCCAGGGCCGCCAGGTACTCCGCCGACGCGGGCGCCAGCGCGGGGTCCACCTGGACTGGGGGACAGTGGGCCGCGGTCAGGCCGGGCGCAGGGTGGGCAAGGGGAGCCAGGGCGGGGGGTCAGAGGCCTGCAACCTGTGCCTCGGGGGGCAGAGCCAGCCAGCGGGGGGGGGTGCAGGGGGCGGTGCAGGGGGGCAGGACTCACACTGCCCGGCCAGCGGGGGGGGGGCGGGGTGCAGGGGGGACAGGACTCACACTGCCCGGCCAGCGGGGGGCGGGGGGTGGGGGGGGTGCAGGGGGGCAGGACTCACACTGCCCGGCCAGCGGGGGGCGGGGGGCGGGGGGGGCAGGGGGGACAGGACTCACACTGCCCGGCCAGCGGGGGGGGGGGGGGGTGCAGGGGGGACAGGACTCACACTGCCCGGCCAGCGGGGGGGGGGGGTGCGGGGGGTGCAGGGGGGACAGGACTCACACTGCCCGGCCAGCGGGGGGGAGGGGTGCAGGGGGGACAGGACTCACACTGCCCGGCCAGCGGGGGGCGGGGGGTGGGGGGGGCAGGACTCACACTGCCTGGCCAGTGGGGGGCGGGGGGTGGGGGGGGCAGGACTCACACTGCCCGGCCAGCGGGGGGCGGGGGGTGGGGGGGGCAGGACTCACACTGCCCGGCCAGCGGGGGGGCGGGGTGCAGGGGGTGCAGGGGGGACAGGATTCACACTGCCTGGCCAGCGGGGGGGGGGGGGGTGCAGGGGGTGCAGGGGGGACAGGATTCACACTGCCTGGCCAGCGGGGGGGGGGGGTGCAGGGGGACAGGACTCACACTGCGCCGGCCAGCGGGGGGGGGGGGGGTGGGGGGGGCAGGACTCACAATGCCGGGCCAGCGGGGGGGGGGGGGGTGCAGGGGGTGCAGGGGGGACAGGACTCACACTGCCCGGCCAGCGGGGGGCGGGGGGTGGGGGGGGCAGGACTCACATTGTCTGGCCAGTGGGGGTGGGTGCAGGGGGGCAGGACTCACAATGCCCGGCCAGCGGGGGGCGGGGTGCAGGGGGGCAGGACTCACACTGCCCGGCCAGCGGGGGGCGGGGGGTGGGGGGGCAGGACTCACATTGTCTGGCCAGTGGGGGGGGGGGGTGCAGGGGGGCAGGACTCACACTGCCTGGCCAGGGGGGGGGGTGCAGGGGGGCAGGACTCACAATGCCCGGCCAGCGGGGGGGGGTGCAGGGGGGCAGGACTCACAATGCCCGGCCAGCGGGGGGGGGTGCAGGGGGGCAGAACTCACAATGCCCGGCCAGCGGGGGGCGGGGTGCAGGGGGGACAGGACTCACACTGCCCGGCCAGCGGGGGGGGGGTGCAGGGGAGCAGGACTCACAATGCCCGGCCAGCGGGGGGGCGGGGTGCAGGGGGGACAGGACTCACACTGCCCGGCCAGCAGGGGGCGGGTGCAGGGGGGTGGACGGTGCAGGGGGCAGCACTCACACTGCGCCGGCCGGCGCCCGGGCTCCACCATCAGCCGGCCCCGCGTCTCTGCCAGCTCCGCGCACAGGAGCTCGTGCTTGGCCTGCACGTCCCGCAGCCTCTGCTGCCTGCGCTCCGCCAGCCGCAGCTGCGCGCTGGCACACGCCGGGCCCTGGCGGGGCGGGGGCTCAGGCAGGAAGGCCTCGGGGGCCCGGCACCCCAGCCCGGCCCATGGGCTCACCCCCCAGGTGGGTGGGCACAGTGGGCCTCGAAGGCGGGCAGGGGTGGGCCTGGGCCTGGGCCGTCGGGTGGGGCTGGCACCAGGCGTGCTCCCATCTGGACCCGGCCCGGGGTGGGCGGGCACAGGGGTGGGAACCCCGAAGGACCCCTCCAGCACCCCCTGCCCAGGGCGGGCATCGGGGCCACCATGGGCTCAGAGCAACTTCCTACCTTGCCTGTGTCCTGGGAGGGCTGTGGACGAGAGGGGAGGGTGGGTCAGAGGTCTGCCGGCCACGCTCCCAGGTCCTCCAGCCTCGCCCCTCCCCTGACCTCCGGGGGCTCCCGCCACACCCCCTGGCCCCCAGGGCCCCCCTGACCTCCGGGGCTCCCCTGACCCCCGGCCCCCCCTGACCCCCGGGCCCCCCTGACCTCCGGGGGCTCCCGCCTTGCCCCTCCCCTGACCCCCAGGGCCCCCCTGACCCCCGGGCCCCCCTGACCTCCGGGGGCTCCCACCTTGCCCCTCCCCTGACCCCCGGGCCCCCCTGACCTCCGGGGGCTCCCGCGGGGGCGGCCGGGGCCGCTGCAGCCGCTGCAGGTCGTCGATCTCGTACACCTTGATCTCGAAGGGCTCGGTGCGCGCGGCGCCCAGGGCCGGGGGCAGGCCCACCCACTGCGCGGGGAGGCCGGGCTTGCGGCCCAGGGCCGCGGCGTCGGGCAGCGGGGCGGGGACCAGCCGGCGGCGCTGCAGGCCGGTGGCCCTCTTCTTGGGGGACTTGAGGCTGCGGGCGCGGCAGCCCGGGGAGCCGGCGCCGCTGTCGCTCAGGGAGTCGGGCGCGGAGGAGGCGCTGCCGGTGGCCTCGCTGTCGCGCAGCATGCTCTCGTAGCCGCTGCTGCCGCCGCTGTGGTAGAACAGGGCCGTGCGGCCCATGGCGGGCGGCAGCTCGCCGCTCAGCACGCTGCTGTTGTCGCTGCCGTGGCCGCTGCTGCGGCGCTGGGGCCGCCGGGGCGCCGTCACCGTGCTGTAGGGCGAGGGCAGCGCGGAGCCGGCGTGCAGGCCGCCGCCGCCGCCGCCGCCGCCGCCGCCGTCCGAGTCCGCCGCGCCCCACCAGGAGCCGCCGTGGCCGTGGCCGTGGCCCTGGCCGCCCCCGCCGGCCGCCAGCTCGTGCACGCGGCTGTGGGCGGCCCGGAGCGCCTGCTTGGTGCCCATGATGGTGCCCCGGCCGGCCTTGGCCCCGGCGCCCGGAGCGGCCCGGGGAGCCGCCCTCGGGGCCGCCACGGGGGCCCTCGCCCCGCCGGCCGCCAGGCTGCGGCCCTTGCTCCCGCCGGCCGGGGCCTTGGGGAGCCCCGTGCCCCCCTTGACCGGGCTGCCCCTGCAGGCAGGAGCGGGCATGGGCGGGGCACCAGCGGGTGGCACCCCCAGCCTGGGCACTGCCCGCGCAGGCCTCCCGGCGGGCTCCCGGGCCTTCCCGCCGCCGTGCGCCAGCCCCTCGCTGCGCTCCAGGGACCCGTGGGCGCTGGGGCGGCACGGGGCCTCCGCCCGGCCCGCCCGGCCCTTCAGGCTGGACGCGGCCCTGGAGACGGGGTGGTCGGCCCGCCCGCCGGGCCTGGCCTCCTCCTCGCCCCGGAGGACGGCGGGGGCGGGCGCCGGGCCGGCCTTGGGCTCCAGGCTGGACTTGCGCACGGGTGGGGCTGGGGGGCCGGGGCCGCCGGGCCTGGGGAGCGGGGTCCCCTTGGCGGCCACGTTCGTCCTGCTGCCGGGGGCGGGCTTCTCGGCCGGGCCCTCGCCGCAGGGCGTGGCAGGCGAGCTCACGCCCAGGGTGGTGGCCCCCCTCCGCAGCGGCGGGATCGGAGCCCCGGCCTCCGGCCGGCGGGCCCCCCTGGCCGCCACCTCACAGCCGTCCGCCACCCTCCGGGCGCAAGCCGGCTCCGGGGCCGGGCTGGGCATCCTGGAGCCACACTCGTGGCCCCGGAGCAGCCAGGGGTCCTCGAGCTGAGCCCCGGAGCCCCCGGGAGGGCTCAGCGCCAGGCGCGGGCAGCCGGCTCGGCCGGCGGCGGAGGTAGCTCTGGGCGTCCGGGGGAGGCTGGAGTGGATGGTCCGTGCCGGGGCCGCCCCGTGAGGGCACCTGGCCCAGGGCTCCCTGCCCGGCCGGACCGAGGCTGCTGCACCCAGGGGGCCAGGCCCGGCCGGGCTGCCGCTCTCTGAGGGCCCCACATGACTGTCCTCTGGGGGGCTGGCCGGGCCCGGGGCATCCAGAGGGCCGGGCCCCGCCAAGTCGGGGCTGAAGGGGTCCGGGCTGGCCCGGGAGGGCGGCTGCGGGGAGGTGCCGCGGCTGGGGGTGCAGGCGCTGAGCTCGCTGAGCCAGGAGCTGCTGGAGGAGCTGGGGGCCTGGGCGGTGTAGGCGTCAAACTCGTCGTTGATGCTGCTGATGATGCTCACGGGCCTCGAACCCGAAGCCAGGGCCTGCAGGGAGCAGTCGCTGCCGAGGCTGGCGAGGCTGGCGGGGCGCCCGCCCAGGGCCAGCTCCTCCACCACCGTGAACACCAGCTGGTCCTCGCCGTTCAGCTCCAGGGGCTGCTGCAGGGTCACCGTGGTGGTCAGCAGGCCCCGTGCGCACGGGCGGGCGCAGCCCCCCTGTCCGCTCACACCCGCCGGGGGCGCCCGGACCACGCCGTCCGCGGGCTGGTCGGGGGCCCGGCTGGCGTCCGGCTTCCCGGGGGGCGGAGGGGCCGGGCTGGGCAGCGGCCTCTTGCCTCCGCCGCCCGCGATCTTGTCCGGCCCCCGCTGCTCAGGCCCGGAGCCGCCGTCCTCCTGCAGGTCCCTGGGGGTCTGGGGGGGCTCGGGGGCGCCCCGGAGGGGGTCCGGGCTGGGGCTGCCCTGGGGCGTGCTGGCGGCCAGCGGGGTGCCCGGGGCCGTCCTGGGGGCCGCGGCCTCGGGCGGCGAAGGCTTCCTGGCCGCGGGGGCCGGGCCGGGGGGCCCCTCGCTGCCGTCGATGCACTCCAGCCGCTCCTGCAGCTCGGCGAAGGTGCGGCAGCGGAAGTGGTCGGCGTCGCGCGGGCCCCCGGGCGGCCAGCGGCAGCTCAGCGCCGGGATGATGGGCACGGAGTCGGGCGGGCCCTCGCTGTCCGTGAGCTCGCGGTCCGACAGCGCCGCCCCGCCGGGCCCCACGTAGATGACCGTGTCGCAGGACTGCTCGCTGCTGGAGGAGTAGTCGGGGTCGCCGGGCGAGCGGGGGGCCGGGCGGCCGGGGCCCGGGGCCCCCGAGCGGGCGTGGAAGGCAGGCAGGGGCGGGGGGCGGCGGGCGCGGCCTTCCTCGCAGGAGCTGTCCCCGCCCGAGGAGCTGGACGCGTACTGGGGGCAGAGCAGCGGGGGTGAGCCGGTTCCCACCCGGCTCCGGCCGCCCCCATGCCGCCTGGAGGACACAGGCTCTCACGATGGGCGTCAGCCGCCCCCGCCGGGTCCCCGAGGCCTCAGACACAGCCCAGCCCTCAGCGCCCTCCGGGGAATTGGCAAGAACCGAACCAGGAGGGAGGACAGCCCCGCAGCCCAGCCCAACACTGCGGACCGGGCCAGGCCCCGGCCCTCCGGCCGCCTCCGCCCCTGCGCCCAGGGAGCGCCCAGCCGCCCACCCCCGGCCAGGCCACCGGAAGGCCTGTCTGCTCCAGCCCCGGGGCCCAGGACGCATGGGGAGTCCCTGGTCCCCGGGGGTGGGACAGAGGCCTGGCCGGCCCGCGGTGGGGGCACAGCGGGCACTGACCTTGCTCTTCCTCCTGCGCAGGCGGTGGATGCGGGCGGCCAGCTGCGCGGTGCTGAGCGTCTCGGCGTGGCGGGCGGGGGCGGTGGAGATGTGGGCGATCATGGTGGCGTGGCAGCCGGGCCCCAGGGCCTCCCGCAGCAGCATGGTGAGCGGGTGCTCCCTGGGCCGAGGGTCGGGGTGAGGCGGGCCCGGCCTGGGGCGCGGGGCTGCGGTGGGGGAGGCGGGCCCCGTGCCACACCAGGGCCCTGCCACCGGCGAGCTGGGGACCTCTCCAGGCCTGGGTTACGGAGGCCCCTCAGGTGGTGGAGCAACAGAACCGAGCGCTCAGGCCGGACACGGGAACCTGCCCGCCCTCACCTGTCCCCCTGCCCCCAGCACCGGCCCCGAGGCCCCGCTCACCTGCAGGGCACGTGCTTGGCGCCGCTCACCAGGGCCAGGATGACGCTGCCCAAGGCCGACAGGGACAGGCTCGGGGGACCACCCGGGGCCTCCCCGGCCCGGCCGGGAGCCCCCTCGCAGCTGCCCAGGTCGATGAGGTGCAGGTGGCTGCGGCCCCCGGACACTGAAACCACAGGGCAGGGCGGGCGGGTGAGCGGGGCAGCCGAGACGATGACCCCAGCTTACTCCAGCCCTCGGCGGGCGCGGCGGCACCTACTTCCGCCCTGGCTGCCCTTCTCCACCCGGTACTGGTAGACGTGCAGCGTGAAGAGCAGGTGGGAGCCCTGGGCGTCCGGGGGGCCGCCGGCACCGCGGGCCGCCAGCGCCGCGTCCAGGTAGAAGGCCGCCCTCTCGGCCGTGGGCGCCCGCAGCTCGCTCTGGTTCTGCAGCTGACGGGGCCGACACGGGGCCTCAGTGCCCGGGGCCAGGACAAGGCCCCGCCCACCCCCCCCCCCCCCCGGGCTGCTCCCCCGTCCCCCGGCCGCCCACCCCGCCGCGCCCCCTCCCCCCGGGCCGCCCGCCCTCCCCACCCCCAGCCGCCCGACCGCCGCCCCCCCCCCCGGCCGCCCGCCCCGCCGCCCCCCGGCCGCCCGCCCTCCCCCCCCCCCGGCCGCCCGCCCCGCTGCACCCCCCCCCCGGCCGCCCGCCCGCCCCGCCGCCCCGCCCCCCCTCGCCGCGGAGGGTGGCCCACCTGCGCCCGGCCGGCGGGGTCCTCACGCAGGAACACGCCCGGGGACTGCTCGTCCTGCAGGCTGCCGGCGGCCACCTCGGCCAGCAGGTCGCGCAGGCCCTGGCCGCACACCTCCACGGCGGACACGCGGACGGAGAAGCGGGTGCCGGTCCGCTCCCGGCGCTCGCCGATGAGCCGGAAGAGCCAGGCGATGGCGCAGGGCATGACACCCAGGCTCTGGGGCGCGCTGTCCCTCCCCATCATGGTGTAGGACTTGCCTGGGGGCAGGCCGGCGGGTCAGGGCCCCGCACGCTCGGCCGGACAGGCCCGGAGCCCGGCGGACGGGCGCCGCCTATCCGGCCCTGCCCGGGGCCTCCTCGGACCCGCTCCCAGGCCCCGGCTCCCGCAGGCAGGGTTTCGGCTTCCTCCCCACGTGCCCGCCCCTGCCCAGGGGGGACGCCCAGCCTCTGCCCGTCCGGAAACAGGCTCAGGGTCTGCGGAGCGGGTGACGGGGGGACACACTCACCGAGGCCCGCGTGGCCGAAGGAGAGGACGCAGCCGTGGGCCCCGCTGACCACGGACGGCAGCACGTCAGCCACGCTGCCCGCGCAGACCTCGGCCTGGGAGGGACAGGCAGGGCCCGCGTCACGGACCCGCCACCCTCCCTCCACGCCTGCGTGCCCCAGGTCACGGAAGGTGACCAGACGTCCCGTTTTGGGCGGGACAGTCCCGACTTCTAACCATTTGTCCTGCGTCCTGCGGCATTTTAAGAAAGTTCCAATTTTGCCGGGACCGGTTTGGCTCAGCGGACAGAGCGTCGGCCTGTGGACTCAAGGGTCCCGGGTTCGATTCCGGTCAAGGGCATGTGCCTTGGTTGCGGGCACGTCCCCGGTGGGGGGCGTGCAGGAGGCAGCTGATCGACGACTCTCTCTCATTGATGTTTCTGGCTCTGTCTCTCTTCCTTCCTCTCTGTAAGAAATCACTAAAATGTATTTTTTTAAAAAGTCCTAATTTTACAATTTGTCCCGCGGGGCAAATGGTTAAAAGTCGGGACTGTCCTGCCAAAAGCGGACGCCTTACCCAGGTGGCCGGCCCGGCACACACAGACCCAGCACAGAGCTCAGGGCACAGGGAACACGCAGGCGGGACACGGATGCACACGCAGCACAAGCCGGCCACTCACGGCTGCCGGCACACGTGGGTCACAGCGCCGTGGGGAGCCCGGCCGGGACCCAGGCCGTGGCACACACGTGGTCCCGGCACGCCCAGGGCTCACGCACACCCAGGGCCGGACACGTGGGCCCGACAGCCCCCGGGCGGTGGGCGCCAGCCTGGGACACAGCCCGGAGCCGGCCCAGCCGCTCACCTGCTCCGAGTCCGGCGGGAAGACGGCGTCGAAGGCGAACATCCTGGGGACGGCGGCGGCGGCCGCGTGCCGGGGGGCGCTGCCCGGGGCGGCGGCCGGGTCGTACAGGGTCAGCTGCTTCCTCCGCGGGTCCACCTTCAGGAAGCCCGCGGCCTCGGCGCAGCGCGGGGCCCCCGGGGCGGGCCAGACCCGCAGCATGACCTTCACCTGGGGACGGGGGCAGCGGGCGGCCTCAGACCCCTCCTCCCGGTGAGGGGGCGGGACGGGGGGCAGCGGGCGGCCTCAGACCCCTCCTCCCGGTGAGGGGGCGGGACGGGGGGCAGCGGGCGGCCTCAGACCCCTCCTCCCGGTGAGGGGGCGGGAGGGGGGGCAGCGGGCGGCTTCAGCACCCCCTCCTCCTGGGGCCGCTGCTCACAAAGGGGCAGGGAAGGGCAGGCAGAGCTGGGGGCGCAGGCTGGGCTCGGCGGGGACCCGCTGCAGGAATGCAGGCCCGCACTCAGCTCCGGGCCCGAACCCGGGAGGTCAGGGGGCAGGCAGAGTGTGAGGCTGGCACACAGGCATCGGACAGGACGGGCTCCTGGACAGAGGGGAGACGGGGGGGGGGGGGGGGGGAGGAGGCCAGGCCCGGATAGAGGGCAGGCTCTGGACACCCCCTGGGCAGAGGGGCAGAGTGCAGGGAGTGACCCCCGGACCTTGCCTGCCCTCGATGGGGGTCCGTCCACACCCCCTCGCGGACTCCAGGGCAGAACGGGGGGCCCCAGAGGGTCAGAATGTCCGAGAGCCAGCCCACCCCACACCCCCCACACACACCCCCACAGCGCGACCTGCGGCCAGGATGGGGCGGCCGCATGGCGACCCCCCGCCCCAGCCCCCAGATGTCTCAGTGCAGCCTCCCTCCCTGGGCGCCTCCTCCCTCCGGCCAGGCAGAGGCCCCGCGGAGCAGGCGGAGGAAGGGAGGAGGCGCTGGAGTTGTGGCCAGATGCCCGGGCGGGCGCAGGCGGGGCCCTGGCTGCTGTGAGCCCTCGGGCGGGGGCGGGGGCGGGGGCGGGAGGAAGAACCCTGCGGCCTCAGCGGGGAGCCGGAGCCTGAGGGCCGGGCCGGCCGGGCAGGGAGGGCGGGCGGCGCAGGCTGGTCCAGCGCAGCCAGCGGGCGGCCAGGCGGCCTCTGCCAGTTCCCCAAAACACGAGAACCAGAGGCAGAGACGTGTCCCCGACACAAGCCCTCGGGGCGGGGGGCGGGGGGCGGAGGCCGGGAACCGAGGTGCCCACCCTGCCAGGGCGACCCCACAGGGCTCCGTGCCGCCTCCGGAGCCAACGAGAATGGCCCGGACCTCAGTGTCCCCACTGGTGCCCGGCCGGGGAAGGAGGCAGCGGCCGCCGGGCCCGGGCACGGCCAGGCCTACCTTTCCGGCGCCGCCGGGCGGGTCCTGGGCCTTGGCGGCGGCCCTGAGCAGGCAGGGGGGCACCGGGGGCGGCCACAGCTGCAGGGCCCCGCTGAAGTCCGTGGGGTACGGGGAGGCGCCGCGGGCGGCGGGGGCAGGCGGCGGGGGCGGCTTCCTGCGCTTGGCCAGGCTGAGCTTCTGGGCGGCCCTGGGGGGACGGGGTCCCATCAGCGGCCCTGAAGCCTCTGCCCCCGGCTCCACGGCTCCCGAGGCAGCAGGGGCCTGGCCGGGTGCCCTCCCCCGCCCGCGGCCTCAGACCTGCCCCGGGTCCCGGCCCCACAGCTGCTGGGGGAGCAGGGCCGTCGGCCACTCACGGGCCCCGGGCCCCGCGTGCTGACTGGGTCTCCCTGCGGTGCCCAACGCCTGCCCCCCCTGGGCCCCCTGCCCCTCCTTCTGCTGCCCCGGGCCCCTCAGCCCCCCGGCCCCCCCTCTGCTGCCCGGCCCCCCGGCCCCCCTGCTGCCCAGCCCCCGCGCCTCCCACTCGGTAAGACGGGCCTTGTGCTGGCGCCCCCGTCTGTAACAGGCTTGTCTTTAAGAGGCCCCGGGGATGCTTTCCTCCCAGCGAGGTGTCATCACAGAAAATAAAAGTGAGCGATGACGCTGGCGGCTTAATCGCAGGGGCGGGGCCACGGGGGGGCGGAGTGCACCCCACGGGGCTCAGCTGGGGCGCAGACCACGCGGGGTGCCCTGGCCACAGCAGATATCAACCGATTCCAGCCGAGCCTCCTGCACACAGAGCCCCCGGAGCCCCCACCCCCGAGCCTCCCCGTCCCTCCCCGTCCCCCTGAGCCTCCCGCCCCTCCCCCCCCCGGAGCCTCCCGCCCCCCGGAGCCTCCCGCCCCCCTGCCGGACGGCCACACACAGGTCAAGGGCAGAGGAGGCCTGACCTGAGCACAGGGGGAGTGGGCAGGGGGCGGGGGCTGAGAACGCAGGGCAGTGACATGGTCAGGGCGGGGCAGTAGCTAGCAGGGCAGGTGCAGGGGGAGTTGGCCATCCCCCCAGAACCTCGGCTCAGGGGCTCCCCCTGCCCACCCAGTGCCCAGCCGGCTCCCTGCCCGGGACCCCAGCCACCATGGGTTTCACTGCAGCTTCCCACCACCCCCCGAGGGGGGTTCAGAGGGGGTAGGAACTGTGGCCCCGCCCCTGCCTGGCACTGCCCAGGGCACCAGGGAGGATGGGCAGCTGTGGGGGGAGCCGGGGCCTCCTCGCCCGTCGTGCCCGTCCGTGCCCAGGCAGTGGTGCCCGCCGAGGGCCGCCGGCACAGCATCCACTCGGCTCCCAGGCCGGCCAACAGCCAGGGGGCGGTGTGCCCCCAGCCCCACAGCAGGTCCCTGCACCCAGGCTCACCAGGGCCAGCCCTGGACGCCGAGGCTGCAGGGGCAGAGCATCCTGAACCCACACCCCCGAGCCTCGGGGGGCAGGAGGCAGGGGGACCCCTGGCCCACGGGGAGACCAGGGGACACAAGGCCTCCCGTCCACAGAGGCCAGGAGCGGGCAGGCGGGCACGAGCGAGGCGAGGGCTCAGACCCTCAGGGAGCCTCTGGGGCCAGGAGCTGAGCACAGACCTCGGCCCCGGCCCCTCGGCCCAGCCTGCAGCGCAGGGAGGTGTCCCCTCACCTAACCCCCCACCTCACCCCCACACACGCCCAGGCCCCGCCTGCGCAGACCAGGCGATCCTCTGAGGTCCTGCCAGTGCCGGCGTCGCCGCCCACAGGTGACCTCACTCAGGGTGCCCTCCCCCCCAGGCCTGCAGGCTGAGGGCGGTGCAGCTGCCTGCCGCCCCGCCCCCCCCCCCCCCCTCCCCCGCCGCTCCGTCACCACCCGGGTCAGAGGGGCGTCACTGAGCTGCCAGGGCGGGCGCCCTCTCCTGTGATGACAGCCAGGCCCTGGGCCCTGGGCCTGGGGGCGAGGGCACTGCTGGCCCAGCCTGCCGGAGCCCTGCGGGACTCTCTGCGGGGCCAGGCCTGCTGCCCTCGAGGGCCCCCGCCTTCTGGGGACACAGACCTGGTCTCTGAGCAGCGGGGGGGAGGTGGGGCATGAACGCCCCCTGCACAGTTGGAGGCCTGAAGCGGGACCCGCAGGCGTGAGGAATTTGGGGGGAGAGGCGGGCCGGGGGCGGGGGGCGGACGGCAGTCTGAGGGGTCTGACGCGTAGGGAAGATGGAAAAGCAGGACCTTCACCTACAGACAGAGCCCGAGGGTCCCTGGACGCCGCCTCCAGGAAGCCCGCCCTGAAGCCCGGGCGATGCCGGAACCTCCTGCCCTGAGCTCCGGTCACATGGCTGCGCCCCCACCCCCAGGCAGCGGCTCTGAGGGAGCCAGGCGGGTGCGGCTGGGAGTGAGTGCGGGCTCCTGGCCGCCCGCCGCCCTCGCTGCCAGCCGGGGCACCTCTCCCGGCTCGCCAGCCTGGTCACGACGCCGGCGGACGGAGAGACACGCTTTGCCTTTTCAGAGAAACGTTACCTCTGCCCGAAAGGAAGGCACCGTCACGGCAGGCGGGCCGCTGGGCGCGGGGCGCGGGGCCCGGACTCGCCGCAGACACGCGGGCAGCTCCGGCGGGCGTGGGTGCGCCCGGGCCAGCCAGGGCCTCCTGCGGGCGGTCACCAGGCTGTGGACCCGGCCACGCCCCCGGGGCTGCCCCCGCAGGCCCTGAGGGCCCGGATCTGCCCTCGGGGACTCGGGGGACAGAACTCCGAAGCGGGGGCCCGGGTCCGGCAGCCTGAGCCCCAGCTCTCGCCGTTGGCACTCCCCACATCCTCAGGCGGCTCCCTCGGCCCCGCCCTCCCGCTCTGGTGCCCAGCCAGCGGGCGGACGCGGGGAGGCGCTGCATGAGGCTGCCGCCCCTCCCCCCGCTGAGCCTCTAGATTCAGGAGGTGCCTCAGACAGGGACCCCGCTCCCGGCTGTGGGCTGGGCAGCACCCCGGCGCCAGTTTCTATGGCAACCCCCCAAGGTCAGCGCAGCCTCGTGGGCTCAGACAAAAGGCGGCTGCGGGGCCAGGTCTGTAATGAGCCAGCGCAGCCCCCGAACCCGGGCTTCCCAGAGGGTCCCGGTGGCTCCCGACCACCTCGGCCTGACGGGCCTGCTGCCCACGGCCAGGGCAGACTAGCGGGAGGGCCTGTCCCCCACCCACAGGTCCCAGCCCCATCTCAGCCTTTATTTAGGGTGGCAGGTCCTGAGCCCCAAAGACACCCTCATCACACCCCCGCCCCCCACCGTCCCCCGTCAGGCCATGCACCCCTGGGCCCCAATATGGCACCAGCCTGGCCGCCATGCGGATTCACAGCCAGCTGCTCAGCGCGCCCGGCCGCTCCTGGGACAGGGCCGTGCTGGGCTCCTCACCACTCCCGCCCTGGAGCCGCAGGACAGAAGCTGGCCCCGGCCCCCCACCCCCCTCGGCTCACACAGCGCCCCGCCAGGCAGGCCTCCCCGCTGGTCCCCCAGGACCCAGCCAGCCCTGGGCCCCAGGGGCGCCCACAGGCCAGGGCCCAGGCCTCGGACAGGGACCCCCGTGGCAGCCTCCCTCCGGGCCCTCCCCGCTCACCCCAGCTCCTGCCTGCCCCGCAGATGCTCCCTCGGCCCTGTCCCAGCCCCTCCCCACCCGCTCCCGCCCGGGGCCCCAGCACCTACCTGACAAAGAAGGAGGCAGCCGCCGGGGGGCAGGGGGCCGGGGAGACCAGGGCGGTGGTGCAGGGCCCCCCGCGGCCCCACAGCCGGGACACGCCGTCAGGGCCCCCGGAGGGAGGGCTGTCACGGACCGAGTCTGCCACCGCCACCGCGGCCACCGCCGCCTCCGCCTGCGGGAGAGCCTGGTGAGGGACGGCCGCCCGCCGCCCGGCCCGGCCCCATGGCCCTGCACCGGCCCTGCCAGCTCAGGGCGCCAGGTGGCACGGGCACTGCCACCCGGCCCGGCCCCTGGCCCCCGGCCCCACACCGGCCCCGCCAGCTCAGGGCACCGCCACCCGGCCCGCCCCCCCGCCCGCACAGCCCCGCCAGCTCAGGGCGCCTGGCGCTCGGCCCCAGGGAGGGGAAGGTGCCCGCCTGGGGCCCAACCCCGCAGCCCCTCCTCCATCGGGTCCCGGAGCGGGTGGCCGGGCGGCAGGACGGACGGACAGAGGGACAGGCCCCGGCCCCTCACCCGGGCCGTCCGTCGGTCTGGGGGTGCCGGACGCGTCCGTGGAGGAGGCACGGCGATAAATATTCGTCAGGAGCGCTAATGGCCCGCGGACGGTAATGTATGAGGTTCCGCGCTGAAATACTAGCCTGGCATTTCCCGCTAATTAGCTAAAATAAATCCCGGGGGGAGGACAGCCTCCTAATGAGGCACAAATGCGATTACGTGCTCGGGGGACGGCGCCAGCCACCTGGAGGCCCGCGGCCGTCTCCGGGCCCCTGTGCCGCAGCAGCCTCCGCCCGGCTGCCCGGTGCGGACCCCGCAGGCCGCTCGGGTGAGACCCGGGTGGCACCAGCTCTGGAGGGTCTGCCCAGGGACACAGCCAGAGGCCGGCGTGGGGGGACGGGACCTCAGCAGAATAACACACGGGGGAGGAATGCTCTGGAAGGAGGTCCTGCCCCCTCAGGACTGCTCCTCACCGAGGGGGAGGGCCTCACTGCATCCATTCTGGGGTCATGGCTTCCAACCGCTCTTGGGCGGGGAGAAAGCAGGCTGCACAGGAAGCTCCCAGGAGCCCGCCCGGCGGACGGGAGCCAGGCACCCGTCTGGAGGCTCCACCGCTTTCCAGGGCTCCCTGAGGGCTGGCGCAGACACGACACACCTGGGCAGCCCAGGCCATCACCGGGGGGCACTGCGCCAGCATGCGGGGCCTGCCACCGACCTCGCCTCCACCTAGCGGGCAGGGGCTCCCTGCCTCCCCCCGAGCCCGCCCTCCCCACTCCAGGCCATTCCTCCCCCCCCCCCCCCCCCCCGCCCAGTGCCCGGCCCGCCTCCCGAGCCCAGCCCCCTCCCAGCTCCCCACCGCTGTCTGCCAGCCCTCCCTCTGCCGTTCTCCCCACGTTCACGGGCACCTAGAGGCTCCTGCACCCTGCCTGGCACATGGGAGGTGCTCCATGCCCGGACCTCCGAGAGCACACAGCCTGGAGGGGACACAGACCGCCCAGGCTGCGGGCGGCCCCACACCGAGGGAAAGGGGCTGCGGGCACAGCGGACGGACGGGAACGTTCCAGAAAGGGGGTCAGGCAGGCCCTGGCCTGGGCACCGAGCATGAGCTCTGACGAGAGCCCCCGGGCCCCGCCCAGGGGTGGGGTGTGCAGACAAGGCTGAGGGCTACGTCCCACCAGCCTCACCCCGGGCCTGGCTGCTCAGGGCAGAGCTGGCCGGACGGAGACCCACCAGCTCCCACCGGCCCCAGGAGAGGGCCCACACCCGCAGCCCAAGCCGGCGGGTCAGAGGGCAGGCGGAGGGCCGCACCCGCCTTCCAGTCCCCAGGCCCCCACCGGCCCGCCGCGCTGCCGGCTCTGTGGGCCCTCCGCCTCCCGCGGGGAGTGCAGCCACCGGCCGGCGTGCCCGGCGGCCGGGCCCACACTGACCTGTCCCGGCGTCGCGCCTGCCTCGGCTCCGCTGCCCGGCGAGTCGCCGGGACACGGCTCCGGCCCCTGGGACGGCCGCCGCCTCCTGCCAGAAGCAGAGCCGGGCACAAGCGGGAGGGGGGACCACAGCACCGGGAAGAAGGGGGGGGGCGGTGGGCGGGGCCGAACAGAAGATGTGATGGAGGCGCCAGAGCAGCAACGAAAGAAAAGCGAGGAGAGCGGAGAGTGAGGCCCCGTCCGAGGGGCCTGCCGGCGCCAGCCAGGCCTCCGGGCGCCCACGGGGGTGCTGAGGTTCCACGGAACACGGTTTGGGGAACACCATGCTTTAAGTCTTTCCTAGGGGGCCCCTAGGCCTGACGTCCACCTGGGTCTGGTTCTGGCCTGAGAAGGGCAGTGGGCACCGTCCACACCCCCGGGGTCCTTCAGGCCGGGAGGGGGTAGGAGGGGCAGGGCCCAAGGGGCAGCCAAGGGGACCTCGCAGGCACAGGATCAGCCCCGCACAGGGCAGCCGTGGCACCACTCAGGGGGACTCAGAAGGTCTGCCTGGCCCGTCGGCCTGGCCCGGGCAGCAGCCAGCCACGTGTCCCTCCCCTATCCTGCTGTGTGACCTCCAGCCTCTGGGGGGCGGAAGCCAAAGCTCATCCGGCACCCGGCAGCGTAGCAATGAGCGCAGGGCCCGGCAGCACCTGCCCGGCCCCCTGTGGGCACCGGGACACACCTCAGACCACAGCGTGTCCCCGGGAGCGGGCTGGGCAGGGCAGGGCGTCTGGGGTGGCCCGTGGCCACTGCCCACACCCTCAGGCAGCTGTGCGGGCGCCGGGCATCTGACAGTCTGGGACAGTGGTCGGCAAACCCATTAGTCACCAGAGCCAAATATCACCAGCACAACGACTGACGTTTCTTTGGAGAGTCAAATTTTTAAATTTAAACTTCTAACGCCACTTCTTCAACACAGACTCGCCCAGGCCGTGCATTTGGTGGAAGAGCCACACTCAAGGGGCCAAAGAGCCGCGTGTGGCTCCGGAGCCGCAGTTTGCCGGCCACGGGTCTGGGAGACGCCAGGAGCCGCGCCAGACCCTCGGGAAGCGGAAGGCCCCGGAAAGGCTGAGCTCTGAGCCACCGACGGGGGTCACGGCTGCAGCCTGACGGAGGTCCTGGGTGCCCGAGGGCTGCCTCGCCCGGACGTGGCTCCCCAGATGGCCATGCCCACAGCTGGACTCCAGCGGCCACAGGCCGGCTCCTGGCCACAGAACCCCGAATGCCCTGGGCCCTCGGAGCCCTGGGTCCCACCTCCAAAGACCACCCTCCCTCAGGGCCGGCGCCTCCTCCAGCACCCCCTGCCCTCCTGCCCGGTCTCCCCACCCGGGGCCAGACGGGCCCCCACCAGTCCAGACCCGTGCGCCCCGTGTGACGGGCCTGTTGGGGGTTCACAGCACGTCCTCCAAAGGGCTCAATGCCACTGCCCAGTCCCAGGGCCACCGCCGATGACCGATGCCCTGGCTCAGGAGAAATCACTCACCCGAGTCCTCACATCCTCTTTATGGTCCTAATAATCCCCCAGCGACCGCCAGGGCTGCCGCCGAATTATAAATCCATTCCCCCCACAGGAGGCGGCCGACGCACCGTAAACGGTCAGGGGCCGTAAATGCCCGTTACGGGGCAGAGACCACGGGCAGGGCCGCCGGCAGGGCAGTGACCCCATCCGGCACGGACTCCGGCTACACCAACCCCGCCCCCCACTGCAGCTCACGACCCCCCTCTGCCCCGGGTGCCCCGAGAGCAACCCCCAAGCCCTTTCCGCCTGGCACTGGAGGCCCCGGCAGGACGGGCACGGAGCCCCCGGACTATTTCCAGGGGCCTCCACCGTCCCCACACCCTGCACTGGGCCACCCTCTCCGGCACTCCCTCTGGGCTCAGACCAGCGCCACCTCCTCCAGGAAGCCCTCCCGAGCTGCTTCCTCGCCTTGGCGCTGCTGTGGGCACATCCCTCCCGAGCCCCAGCGCCCAGGCCGGGAGGCACCGGGACGCGGTGGGCGGGCCTCGCCCACAGACTGAGGGCGGGGAGGACGCTGCCACGCCGGCCTGGGCGCGTCGTCCCACGGAGGCCGGTTCAGGCCCCGTTCTCCCCGTGGCCATCCACGCCCCATCACCAAGCCGCCGGGCACCGGGCTCAGGACAGCCGTGGCACGGGGCCAAGGCCCAGCAAGGCCAAGACCCCCAGCCACGCTGACATCCACCCCCACCCGCTGGCCTCAGAGGGGCCTGGGAGCGGGGGGCAGGGCACTGAGACCGGATGGGCTTTGCCAGTCGCTGGACCTGCCCTGGGTGCCCCGCAGCCCGCGGGGCACAGCCCCCGGGCACACAGGCGGCGGCAGACGCCTGCCCGTGGCCCCGCCTCAGAGACACCGGCTGGGCCAGCATGTGGGCAGCCTGTGGTCTGAGAAGCACCGAGCGATGTTCCCACGCCACCCGCTGCCCGGGGCTGTGTGCGGGCGGCCACAGCGGGGCTCCCCGTGGCCCTGCACACAGCCGTGCAGCCCAGGTCCCTCCTCTTCCCCTCCCCAGCCCTGTCCCGGGGAGGCCCACGCCGCACCCTCCAGCCTCCCCTGGCCTCCCCTCGGCACGGACAGCCCTCCCCCTCCTCCTCCCCCTCCTCCGCGGGGAGCAGCCCTACCCTGGACACGGCACGGTCTCCCCTCAGCCCTCCTCTCCTGACCCCCACGGCACCCCTTCTCCTGGAAACCGGGGCACAGAGGACACCCGGAGAAGCCGCGCCAGCAGAGCGCCGTGGGCATGGGGACGCGGGCACCTGCCCCGCCCCAGTGGCTTCGCCTCGGGCTGCGGGTGACCGGGCAGGGCCCTCCCCGGGAACAGGCCCAGGTCCCTGGCCCCGCGGTGCAGGGCTGGTTCCCGAGGCCACGCCCCTGCTGCGGGGCCGGCCTGGTGGCCGGCGGGGGCCGGGGGACAGGCATCCGCTCCGACTGGAAAGGAGGCTCCGGAGAACAGGCCCCGTGGCAGCGGCCCAGACCCCCTGCACCCCGGCTCACGTCTCCCGTCGGGGGCAGGTCTGGGTCCCCGGCCACGCCCTGCGGGCAGCCTGGCCTGGCAGGAGAGCTCAGAGGGGGAGGGACCACTGGGGACCCTCCTCACGCGGGAATGTGCGCCCCGCCCCCAACCCCGAGGACAAAGAGCTGACCTCGTCCCAGGAGGCCACGGGGCTCCCACCAGCCACAGTGCCCCCACCCGCCCCCACCTGGCGCTGTGTGGACCCAACGCCCCGGGCACGCGAGGCCACTGCCCACGGTGGCCTGGCGGGCAGACTGGTGGCCTCAGGACTGGCCCGGGCCGCCCCACACCCACTGCCCGGCACCGCCGGTGAGGCTCGAACCCCCCACCTGGCGGAGCCAGGGCTGCAGCCACCCGCCGGGCACTCACCAGGCAGGACGGCGGCAGGATGCTGTTGACCCTGGAGACGCTCCACACGCCCTCCAGGCACTGCTGGGCCTGGATGGTGACCGTGCTCAGCGCCCCGCCCAGGCCGGCCGGCGCCACCGACACCTGCACGCTGGGCCCCGCGGCCCAGGCCGGCTCCTTCCTCCTGCAGGGCCCCCCTCGGCCCGGCGGCCTCCGGGCGGGGCCCACCGCCGCGGGTCCATCGCTGGGGCCGGTCATGGGGCCGGGGCCTCCGTGGGGGGCGTCGGGGTCCTCCCGGCCGGCGGGTGCGGGCAGCAGCCGCAGGGCCTCCCGCGTGAGCGGGTGCAGGTGGGCGGAGCAGACGGTGCAGTGGCGCTCGGCCTCCGGGGGGCAGGACGGCGGGGCCCCGGGCACCGGGGGCTTGTCCAGCAGCAGGGCCGAGAGGCAAGGGTCCTGGGGAAGAAGGGACAGTGGTCAGAGCCTCATCCGTAACCGACTGACCGGCCCGGACGGTTTCACTGCGCCCGCCCTGCAGGCAAGCAGTCACAGGCCCAGGTGCCCGCACGGCCCCCTGCCCGCCTCCTACCGGCGCTCTCGCTAATGAGGCGTCTGCGTGTCCCCGACCACCAGGCCCCGCGGCTGAGGAGCAGCCAGGAGGCCGCAGAGCCGTCCAGGGTCAGCGCCCCAGGGCCCCCGTGCGAAGTCCCGTCTGGGCCAGAGCCACAGGGGCTCCCCTGGGCCAGCCGGGCGGGTGGGCCTGGCGCCCGGACACCCTCTCGCTGCCTCTGCGAAGGCCCCGGGGCATGGGGCCGGAGGAAGATGACATGGGGCCGGCGTCCATGTCCTTGCGGGTCCTCGGCATGAGCCGGCCACCAAGCCGCCAGTGCCAGCGCAGGGAGGCCAGAGGCAGGGCCGTGCTGGGCGGCTGCCCTGCCCCTGGTGTCAGAGAGCTAAGAACAGCGCAGGCGAGCCCAGGAGGCCCCTGCCTAGCCCCGAGGTCAGGGAGGGCTTCCTGGAGGAAGTGCCACCTCTGACCGGACAATCCTCACTGGAGGCCCACTCTGCTCCCCCACCCCCACCCGACGCTACTCACCACCTGCCAGGCTGTAGGCGTCGCCCAGGGTCTGAGCCCCTTCCCCATCACAGGGGCCTGGCCGGGGCAGACCCTCCAGGGAGCCTGGGCCCAACAGACACGGCCACGCCCACCCGGACCCTCCAGCGCTGACCCAGCAGGCGGATCCTGAAGGCGGCTGGCAGCCTCATGGCCCACCCGGCCCCTGGCCCGGACCCCGGACCCTCCCCCCGCCCCCGCAGCCCCGGCCTCCCTCCTCCCTGGCCACAGGCACCCTGCTCACCACTGGCCACATCCCCAAGCGATGGCCCACGAGCCCAGCTGCCCTGCTGGCCACAGAGGGCCCAGGGCCCCTACACACACCCGCCTCGGAGCCTGACCGGGCCACGCAGAGGCCTGGGAGGCTGGGCCAGAGCCTCTGGGAGCCGGGAGCCTGGCTGGGAGCAGTGGCCCTCCCTGCGGCCGCCGTGGGGAGAGGCAGGAGGGGGACGAGAGCGGGGGGGGGGGGGGGGGGGGGCATGGAAATGGCTCGGGCCACAGATGGAATCCAGACGCGGCACGCCCCCCATTTCCCAGGTCCTGGCTCTGATTACTCTGGTTTTCCACTCAGCGGGAGGCCCAGGGTGGCGGCGGGGCGAGGGGAAGGAAGTGCCTGCCAGAGCCATTAACCCGACTTGAAAGGCGGCCCAGCCCCTGCCCGCGGCCCCACAGCCATTGTTCCCGGCCTCGGCCTGTCTCAGGGCCCTCAGCTCCTAGGGGAGCCCAGCCCCCCTCCGCGGGCACCGGGAGGAGGCAGGACGGGGCGCTGACCCGGGAACCCACCGCAAGCCGCCAGGCACGGGGGAGGCGACAGGAAGCCAGAGCAGCACCCCCACCCCCCCCGCCCCGCCCCGCCCCGCTGTGAGTGAGGAATTCAGACAGCAGCTGTCAGAGGCCCCGCCCACCAGGCCTGGGCGCTAATCAGAGGCCCTGGGAGTGGGGAGCACCCGTCACAGGAAGACAGACGGGGCAGCCTGGACTCCCCACACCCCGCCTGCTCCCACCAGCCCTTCCCTGACAGCCTCAGGCACGGGGGGGGGGGGCGTGATCAAAGCCCAGCCCCCGCACAGCCCCCCCCCCCCCCCCGGGCCAGCTCTCCCGCTTTGGCTCAGGCCCCCCAGACCTGCCTGGGGCCCTGTGAGCCCACCCTGAGCCGCCGGGCAGGCCGGGCAGTGCCCCGCAGGGTGGGCCCGTCACCCATCCCACCCCTAATCCCCCCAGGAGGCCGGCACCTCAGTCATCACCGCTGCAAAGGTTACTTCTCATCGCCTCCTCGTGCCCTGACTGAGCAGGTATTTCTCTCACGCTTGAGAATGTTTTTCTTAATTTGATTCAGTTTAGCCTCGTGCACCCCTACCCCCAGGCCACCCGGTGTTAGGGAGCCAGCCCCGAGAGTGACCGTGCTGCCAGCCGGTCCTGGGTCTCTAAGTTGCTCTGATCCCTCCATCTTCCCAGCTGGCCAGACGCTCCTCCCAGCCCGGCCCCGACGCCCCGTCAGCCCCTGGAGCTGGGCAGGCGCTGACCACACCCCACCGAGGCCACGGAGAGGGATAGAGGGGTCCGCTCCCCAACTCAGAGAAGCCCGAGACCTCAGGGCTGTGGCACAACCCTCTCCCACCCCATCACCCGTCTTTAGAAAGGGGCCCCAGAACCCAGAGGAGGGCCCCTGGGGGGGCAAACGGTCCGGGTGCCCAGCCCGGAGGAGTGCCCGAGCCCAGGGCCCCCTCCCCGGTGGGGGTGAGCCTGGGTCCAAGCTAGGGTCCTCCCCAAGAGCCCCTCTGCCTTACCCCCTCACCCCCAGTTCAGCTCCTGCCCCCTTCCCCCCAGCTCAGCCCCTGCTTCCCCTCCCCCAGCTCAGCCCCTGCCTCTCCCCCCCAGCTCAGCCCCTGCCCCCCTCCCCCCAGCTCAGCCCCTGTCTCTCCCCCCACAGCTCAGCCCCTGCCTAACCTCCCCCCCAGCTCAGCCCCTGCCCCCTCCCCCCAGCTCAGCCCCTGCCTCTCCCTCCCCAGCTCAGCCCCTGCCCCTCCCCTCAGCCCCTGCCCCCTCCCCCCAGCTCAGCTCCTGTCCCCCTCCCCCCCAGCTCAGCCCCTGCCTATCCTCCACCCCCAGCTCAGCCCCTGCCCCCTCCCCCCAGCTCAGCCCCTGCCCCCTCCCCCCCAGCTCAGCCCCTGCCCCCTCCCCCCCAGCTCAGCCCCTGCCCCCCTCCTCACCTCCCCCCAGCACAGCGAGCAGAGCCAGCAGTGACCCCGCAGCCGCTGCTTCCGGAGTTGACAACAGGTCCAGGAAGGACCCCTGCCCGGCCAGCCCCGCCCCTGACTGCTGTCCAGGCCTGAGGACATTCCGATGTCGCGTGCAGCCTGGCTGGGCTGGGGCAGGTCAGGGGTCAGGGCTGTTTTCCAGCTGGAAACCGCCTGCCTGTGGCCCCCGCCCCTCCCTCCCACCGGCATCTCACCGGGGCCCGGCGGAGGCAGGTTCCACGGACCCAGAGACCCACAGCAGCCGCCCTGCCCACAGCCAGGCTCCCTGTCCCACATCCCAGGCCCTCAGCCCGAGGCCCTGAGCCCGGGGCTGACCCAGCCTCCCTCTCTGCCAGGGGGCGAGGGGGAGGGGGAGGAGGCAGGGGGCACCGCCCAGCCCGCTCAGCACTGCCCAGCACCGTCCCCACGGCCCTGTGCCAGCCGGCCGGGCGCGCAGGGCACACACTGATGCATTGAGACCCTCTCCTCAATGGGCGCCCCTGTCCTCGGCCCCATGCACTGAAGGCCCGGAGCCGCAGGCCAGAGCACAGGCCTTCATGGGGAGGGGGAGGGTGGCAGGAGATGGCCTCCTGGGGACGCCACCGCTCCCGGGGGGGGGCTCACCAGACTCACTTCACACTCGTGGGCGCGGGGTGTGAGCCTGACCCTTGTCTGGCATGGCAACAGCAGACCCCCTCCACCAGGGCTGGCACCACCCATCACCCGCCACCAGGCTGCCCCTGGCTCCCATGGCCCCTCAGAGGGCCGGGCGCCCGCCTCCAGACACCCACCCCCCTGGGAACTGCCCCACTTGCTGGCTGCCTGGAGCATGCCCCCTTGACAGATGGGGGTTCAGAGAGGCTAAGACACTTGGCTGAGGCCACACAGCAGAGTTGGAGCTCAAAGTGTAGGAGGCGGAGGAAGGGATGGGGCCAAGGAAGGGTCCCCAGGGACAAGCCGGGAGGGCTGGCTGAGCCGAGGGTGGCCATGGTGGGGGGGCGCGCTGAGATGGCTGGCCGACGCACCCTGGTTGGGACAGGCCCAGGGTATGGGGCTGGCGGGGTCCCAGAGCCGGTGCTGGGCTGTGGCCTGGCACCGAGGGGGCCGGAGGACCTGGCACTGGGAGGGTATCCTGCAGCCCACACCCTGAGCCGGGCACGAGGCAGGCCCAGTGCCGGGCACGCTCCGCTGGAAACGCGGGTCAGGGGTGAACCACGCAGGGGTGTGAGGCCCTCGTCCGAGCCCGGACACGGCGGGGGGGCGGGCGTGGGGCGGCCTGGCCTGGCCTGGCGCTGGGCAGGAACACCCTGAACCCGCCAGCCCCGGCGCGCCCCGCCCACAGAGCACCAGGCACCTCCAAGACAGCCTCAAGCCTCCCAGCCGCGGGGTCCCCCAGCCACAACACGTGACACAGACATGAGGGTGCCCCTAACCCGGGCAGTCAGTGAGGCTGAGACCCCGGAAGCAGCGGCAGTGCAGGGCGGGGGGTGGGGGGAGGCGGAGGAGGGAGGGAGGCCAGCCCGGATCGCAGAGCCTGGGGGGGGACAAGGAGGAGCGGCCTGGGCACCCGGCTGCTGCCACTGGGACCCTGACTAGGGGTGACCGGGCATCAGCTCCCACCCCCTCCCCCACACGGAGGGGACACCCACGGTGCCCACACTCTCCCGTGCAGAGCCTGCGGCGGCTCCGGGGGACCCAGCACCGACTAAAGACAGGACCCTCGGCCACAGCCTCATCAGCACCAGCAGGAGGGACCGGCTCCACGGACACTGAGACAGGCCACGGACAGAGACAGGCCACGGACTGAGACAGGCCACGGACTGAGACAGGCCACGGACAGAGACAGGCCACGGACTGACACAGGCCACGGACAGAGACAGGCCTGTGGCTGGTGGAGCTGTGAGCCTTTTGGCAGCAAAGGGAAATGGAAACTAGACTCCTTGCTATTTAAGAGAAGACCCAGCTCGCCTGGCAGGCTGCTCAGTGGTTAGAGCATCAGCAGGTCTCGGGGTCCATTCCTGGTCCAGGGCATGTACCTCATTGCAGGCTCACTCCCCGCCCCAGTCGGGATGGGATGCGTGTGGGAGACAACCAATCGATGTGTCTCTCTCGCATCGATGTTTCTCTCCTTCTCTCCCTCTCTCTCTCTCTGTCCCCTCTTCTCTCCCCTACACTCTCCCCAAAAAACAATGGGGGGAAAAATCCCCAAACCCCCGGCCAGGCTCTGAGCAGCCTGAGGTTCAGGGGTGACCTCCCTCCCTGACCTCCTCCTCTCAGCAGAGGGACAGCCAGGCCTGTCAGAGCCCAGGTCCCTGCTCAGCCACCGCCGACGGCAGCTGGGCTCCTCGGCCAACAACCCAGCTCCTGGCAGCGCCCGCCCGCCTGGCATTCCGAGGCCCCGCCTCCGCCCTGGCTGAAGCCCAGAGGGCACCCCCACGCCCTCACCCCGAGGCCCGGGACCAGCCACAAGATGGTAGTACAGGAGCCCTGGACAAGGTGGGTCCCCGGGGACGCAGGGCCCAGCTGGAGAGGGGCCGGCGGAGGTCACACGGCGGGGAAGCCAGGCCTGGCCAGCCGCCCCGCTCCCCGCCAGGCCGTCCCCCGAGTGGCCTGGGAGCCCGGAGCCTCTCGGCTGAGTCACCCCGTCCCCTGCCAGCTGGGAGCCAGCCCAGCAGCCCCGGGGAGCCGCCCCTTCACACCTCCGGCTGCCTGAGCCTGCCAGCACCCGGCTCGGCGGGTGCCCGCCGGAGCCGAAGGCAGGCCCTGCGGCCCTGGTTCCGGGTGGTCCCGGAGCTGGTGCAACTCAGGCCGGATGCCAAGCAGCTGGGGTGGGGGCGGGGACGCTGACCTGCCCAGCAGCACGCGGCCAACGCCAGCTGGCTCTGCCGCCCCTGCCCGCCCGGGCCACAGCCACCAGACGGCAGGCCCAGGACCCCCCACCACACACACACAGCCACACCCCGGTGAAATCCGGTGAAACCGCAGTGGGCGCGTGGAGATGGCGGGGAGGCCTCCGGGGAACGGACAGCTGCTGGGCCGCCAGCCCCAGGCCAGGCTGGGAGCCAGCGGAGGAGGGGCCTGGCCTCCAGCCCCAGGGCCGGGCCAGGTCAGCAAGCACCTCGGGGCAGCAGGACAAGACCCCTGCCAGACCCCGGAGGGGAGGGGGGAGGAGGAGGGAGGTCCGCAAGCGCTAAATGAGAATTGATCTAAATGAGAATTGATCGAGTTGCCCAGGGGGACGCTAATCAATTCAGCACCTGTATTGACACCTCGCCTGTCTTGTGCGGATGGTGGATGTCACTTCATGGGGGGCCAGAGGAGCGCCGCCCCTGCCGCCTCCAGCATCTGGGTGGCAGCTGGACCAGACGCCCCCAGGAGCAGGCTGCGGCTCGGTGGGCTGGGGGCGGGCTGGACTGGCCGGGCTGCCCTGGGGTGCACTCAGCAGGCGCAGGAGGGAGGTCTGGAGGGGGAGCCTGGGTGCATGTGGCGGCCCAGACCTCTGTGCTGTGAGGTCACAGAGAGGCGGCCAGAGGGCCTGGGTCCCCTGCCGCGGTCAGCTGCCACGGGGCAAAGGGGGAAACCAAGGCAGGCACCGGGCGGAGAGCACCGGGCGGAGAGCACAGGGCGGCCCAGGAGACAAAGGCTTTGCACCCAGGCCCACTCTGATCCACACCCCACCGCCCGCCCCGCCTCGCCCCCAAAGGCCTGTCACAGACCGTCCAGCCACATCAAAGGGCCAGGGGTGCCGCTGCCTGTGTTGGGCCCTGCCCAGCGGATGCCCATGTCCTGGGCACAGAGAGGGAGACGGAGGCCCAGGGTCTCGGGGCACCTGCCCAGGGCCCACAGCAGGGACCTGTGTGCTGGCAGGAGGGTGGGCGGGGCCCATGGGGTCTCCCCGAGACCAGCCTGGGCCTCTCGGGCCGCCCCGCAGCGGGAGCCCAGCAGCCCCGGACCCGGCGAGCTAACAGGCCCCTGGGCTGAGCGCTGGCCTCATGAAGTCATCTCCTGAGGAGACGCGCCAGGCCCCCAGGGAACTCCCAGAAGCAGGCCTGTGCGCTGGCCCGCCCGCCCGCTGCCCACCCTCCGTCCCCACCAGCGGCGGCAGCTGCGTGTGCGTCCGTGCGTCCGGACACGCCTCCGCCTCCCTGAGGCGGCCCCGGGCAGGCCGGCGGGCTGCAGGCTGCAGGTCAGCGGGACAGGGACACCCCCCCAGGCCCCGTGGCCCAGGTGCCTCAGCCCCCCCGTGGCCGTGGCCCTGCCCCCTCCTCTCTAGACGAACAGCGGACAGGGGCCCCTGCCCCGCACAGCACCTGCAGGGTGGACAGCACTCCCAGGCCAGCCCCTCAGCTGCCCGCCTGACACAGGAAACGGGGGAGGGGCTGCAGAGCAGGAACAAAGCATGGGGCCCTGGTCTGCCTGGCGGGTGAGCGGTGAGCGGGCCACAAGCAGGCACGGGGGAACCCACCTGGCACCGGGCGTACCAGTGTGGAAGGCCGACCTCAGGCGAGGCCAGGGGAGGGGGAGGTCTGCAGAAAGAGACCATCAGACCCCACCCCCCAGGGACCCTGGGATTGACCAGTGGCTGGTGTGTCCTGCAGCTCTCTCCACCAGAACCCCCCACCCTGGACAGCTGGCCCCGTGCCGGGGCCCGGGGCCCAGGCAAAGCCGGCTGCGTCAGAAAGCCCCTCCTCTCTGGCCGGGCACTCCGGGGTCTGTCCTGAACACGCCCTCTGGAGGGCTGAGGCCCGCCAGCTCCCTTCAACCGGATCAGCCTCCTGGCGCAGCTTGGCACCGCTTCACCCCGTCACCGCGGAGGGCGAGTCCGGCCCACCCAGGACGGGCGAGGGTCCCCTCCCCCTGCCACTGAGCGCGCCCAGGGCAGGAAGCAGACACACACCACCGGCCTGCCCCAGGGCCTGCCCACCCACCGGGGACACACAGGGACACACAGGCACCGGGGACTCCGGGGTCTCTCACACTCTCACACACACACACACCCCGCCTGCACCAGGGGCCTGCCCAGCCGGGGACACACAGGCACGGGGGACTCCGGGGACTCCGGGGTCTCTCACACACACACCCACACACACACACACACCCACACACACACACACACACGCACACACCCCGCCTGCCCCAGGGCCTGCCCACCGGGGACACACAGGGACACACAGGCACGGGGGACTCCGGGAGCCGGGGTCTCTCTCACACACACACACACACACATGCACACCCCGCCCCGCCGGCCTCCGGGGGAGCTATATTTAGTTCACTGGGGCCTCGGCCGCCGTCCCAGGCTGAAGGCCGGGAAGGGCTTCCTCTGCAGACCCCCACCTTCCCTTCGCCAACTTCCGGGGGCATTGTTCCTCGAACAATGGTCCCGCTCCTTCCGAGGCCCGGCGAGCCCATTGGCCGCAGGGTGCCCTCCACCCCACCCCCACCCCAAGACCCAGCCCCTCACTTCCCAGATGGGCGCGTGTCCCACACACAATTCTCACCCCAGGAGCTAGGAGGGGCCAGGCGGGGGGAGAGCCCTCTCTCCAAGCCCTCCTGCCCCGGGTGTGCAACTTCCAGACACTGGACAGAGGCCCCCAGGGCACCATCACCCCGGGACACCCGCGCTGCTGGCAGAGCAGGAGTTGCCCCGCCTGGGGGAGTCCCTGCCCTCGCCTTCCCTCTCCCCCCAAACTGACCCGGCTCCAGCTGCAGCAACGCCCCCCGCCCCTCTCACCCCCCAACTCCTGCAGGAGGTTGCAGACGGGGAAACTGAAGCCCAGAGGGAAGGGGCCGGCCCACACCCGGGCACGGTGGGTCACATACCCGGAGGGCCGTCCCGGGCCCGCTGACCAGCTTCCAGGCCTGACGCTTGAGCTCCGCGAGCTTCGTGTGGCAGTGGCGGCACCAGCCCCCGCCGCCGGCCGCGTGGCCCGGCTCGGCGCCCCCGGCGCCCTCGGGGGCAGGGCGGCTGCCGCACGGGTCCGGCGCGGGGCCGGCGGGCCGCCTCCTGCCCGGGGGCAGCTCCAGGGGCTGCAGCGGCTCCCGGGCCGGGCCCGCCTCCGCCACCTGCGGGAAGTGAGTGCGGAGGGGCCGTGAGCCCGGCTCGGGGACCCAGTCCCGGCGCGTCCGCCCCCCGCCCCCCGCCAGGGACACTCCGCAAAGTTGGGGCCCGCCGCCCACACCAGGGGCCCGGAGGGGGAGCCCCGCGGGCGCCCCGCACCCCGCGACCGCCTCTGGGTCTGGAACTCTGCGCCGCGGCGCCCCGGCCCGCCGCCCGCCGCCCGGCCCCGGCCCCGTACCGCGGGGCGCGCCGCGCACAGGGGGCCGCCGCGGCTGCCCATGGCCGGCGCGGGAGGGCGTCCGGGCGCGCGGCTACGGGACCGGCCCGGCGGCGCCCCCACGGCCCGCGGCCGCTCCGGAGTTGGCGGCGCGGGCGGCGGAGTGGCGGGGAGCGCGGGCGGCGGGCGGCGGGCGGCGGGCCGGGGCGGGGCCGGGGGCGGGGCGCTGGGAGGACGGCCCGCCCGCCCGGCCCTGGGCCCGGCGGTGGGGAGGGGAGGGGAGGGGAGGGGACCCCGCCCCGCGCGCGCCCCTCCCGCGCCAAGGACCCACCGCCCCGGCCCGGCTGGGCGAGGCAGGCCGGGGAGCGCGGGGGCCGCTCAGGCCGCGGACGCGCTGGCCCAGGCGCCTTCCCGCCCTTTTGGGGGACACGGGGTCTGCGAGCCTCCGCGGAGGCGCGGGCACTCCTCGCGCCGCCGGGCGGGCTCCCAAAGTCGCCGCGGAGGGGCCTCCTCCGGCCAAGCCGCTGCACGCACTCCGCGTGGCGCCGGCCTCGCGCGGCGAGTGACTCCCCGGCGTGCGCTGCCGGGCCGGGTCCCGGGTCCCGCGTGTCTCTGCGGCCGCGCGTGTGCGGGAGGCCGGGGGCGCGGGGCGGGGCGCGGCGGCCGGGCTGCGCGGGACCTGTTGTCCCCGCGGCCGGCAGATGGGCGCTGAGCTCGGAATTAATTGCCTGTTTGTCTCCGGCTGGGCGGTCCCTCCGCTCCGCTCCCCTCCCCTCCCCTCCCCTCCGCCGGCGACCAGTTGCTCGCGCTCCGGCTCAGCCCGCCGAGCGGCCGCGTTCCCGGCGGCGCGGTCCCGTCCCCGCTCCGGGTCCGCCGAAACCCCGGCCGGGCTGGGCGGGCGGGGTGCCGCCTTCCCGTGCCGCGAGCGCCCCCTGCCGGCCGCCGGGCTGGAGCGGGGCCGGCGCCGCTGCTCCAGGGCGCGGAGCGCTCGGGCCGGGCAGCGGGCCGGCCCCCGGCTCCCCGCGCGCTCGTGGGCGGCGCTCGCCTCTCCGCCCCTCGGAGCCGCCCTCCGCCCTGCGCTCCGCCCCCCTCCGCTTGGAGGGCGCTCCCCGGGGCGGCGTCCGGGCTGTCTCCGGCCTCCGCGGCGGGCGGGGCTCCCCACGCTCACAGCCAGGGCCACCGCCTCCCGCCCCTTAACGCCCACAAGCCCCGCCGAGGACAACAGGCGGCAGCAGCGCCCGGACACCCCCCCAATGTGCTGCCCCCACCCCATGCCTGCAGACAGCACCCCCCTGCTCTGGGCCCCCAACCCACACACACTCACACTCACACACACACACTCACACTCACACACACACTCACACACACACTCACAAACACACACACACACTCACTCACACACACACTCACACACACTCACACACACTCACACACACTCACACACACACGCACTCACACACTCACACACACACACACTCACACACAAACACACACACATTCACTCACTCACACACACTCACACACACACGCACTCACACACGCACACACACACACACTCACACACACTCACACACACTCACACACACTCACACACACTCACACACACACTCACACACACACACTCACACACACACACACACACTCACACACACACACACTCACACACGCACACACACACTCTCACTCACACTCTCACACTCTCACACACTCATACTCACGCGCACACACTCACACTCGGCGCCCACATGCGCTCCCGGAGACACCGGCCGGAGCCCCATCCTAAGACCAGGGCCGGCCACACCCGCAACTTCGGTCCCACACGCACGGCCGCGGCGCGTGGGGAGGGCCCGCTCCCGCCCGCCGGGCCCCGGGCCGGACCCAGCCCCGCCGAGGCCGGTGCCTGCGGGACGGGAGCCGCCTCCGTCTCCACGCCTCGCCCACCGGCCCGGCGCGGCGGGGCCCAGTCCCCGCGCCGCGGTCCAGCCGCCTCCGCCAGGACGCAGCGGGGACGGGGACGGGCCCGATGGGGGCGGCCCGAGCCCGCCGCCAGGCCGCGCTCCGCCCCGCGCCGCGCCCGCGCCGCCTCACCTTGGCGCGCCGCCGCAGGAGGTGGCTGGTGAAGCCCAGGACGATGTCCGAGTCCAGGCACAGCGCCCCCAGCTCCAGCAGCCCGGGCGCCCGGCGGGGCGCGCCGCGGGGCTGCTCGGGCGGCCCGGGCAGCGCCATGAGGAGCGGAGCACGCGGAGGCTCGGCTCCTCCCGGCTCCGCCCGCCGCCGCCTCCCGCCGCCTCCCGCCGCCGCACAGCCGCCGCCGGCCGCTCCTCCGCCCGCGCCGCGCGCCCCCGCGCTCCGCCCCGCCGGCGCCCGCAGCGCCCCCTCCGCCCGCGGCGCGCCAGGCACCCGGCACGCGCCCGAGGACGGGAGCCGGAGGGGCGAGGGCCGCGCTCGCTGCGGGTCCGCATCCCCCGCCCGCACGCCCCTCCTGGTGCCCGCCCCGCGGCTCCGGGAGGGCGGTGGGCGCGCTGCTGAGCCGGGCGCCGGAAGCCTCTGCCGACAGGGGGCGTATGGCATGCCCGTCCCCCTCCCCTTGGCTCTCCCACCCCCTCCAATCAGTCCCGGAGTCTCCGCGCCTCCGGGTGTCCGGAGCACAGTGACCTTGAGCTCCCCTGTTAGCCCCGCACCAGGCCGAGCCTCGGCCTAGGGACCCCAAGGCCCGCCACACACACACACACACACACACACACACACACACACACACACACACACACACCGCCCCCAGGACCCAGAGCAGCGCAGTGGGACCTCTGCCCAGCTGTGCAACACTCCAAAACCCCATCCCGCCGCCTCCTGCAGCCCCGGACCCGGACCCTCCGGCCGCCCCGGGAACACCTGCGCCTCGAGGGTTCGGCCCAGGCTCCTGGCGCGGCCACATCAGGTCGGAGTGACCGGCGGGGCGCGCTGCCTGCCCGGCTGCACACTCAGGCCGGGACCCCGCTCCTGCTGAGCGCGCTGTGCCCGCCGGTCTTCTGTGCTCGCAGGCGCCCCCTGCGGGCACAGGCGGAGAGCGCCAGCCGCCTGCTAGGGGAGAGCGGAGCATAGGGGCCGGGTCCCCTAAATAAGCTAGGCCCCGGGGAAAGGTGTGGGGAGCGAAGGGGTCAGGGAACACTCCCGGGGGAGCTGGGCCTTGGTGGGGCCTGTGCGAAAACGGCCAGGCGCAGAGAAGACTGAGAAAGGGCGCCGGAGGTCAGGACAGGACAGCTTGGCTGGGTGCTATGGCTGCACCCGTCCTGGCCCCTAGGGAGGGCCATGGAACCTCCCTACCTCGTCCCTACTCACCGGGATCCTCCCCTGACTCCCCCAAGCAGCAGCATCTCCACACCCTCCTCCTCCCCAATCCCCACCTCCCTCCTACCCTCACACACACACACACCAGCTCATCATAAACACATCCTAGGCCACCACAGAGTCCCCCCCCCCCCCCCAGGCCTTGGGTCAGGAGCCAGTGCACCCCTGGTCTGGGGCAGAGATCAGGACAAGCCATAGGGAGGTCCTCTCATTCTCCCTCCTCTCTGCCCCTTTCCGCTGCCCCCCGCCGGCCCCTCTGGTCTGGATTGGGAGGAGCTAGGAGGCCAGTCTGGGCCCACACCTTCCTCCCTCCTCCTGCCGCTGGCACCCAGGAGCCTGACCTGGCCCCCCTTTCCTCCCGCCCCTGAGCCCGAGTCTGGGGGAGGGGCCTCCCTCTGGGACCCGGTGCCCTGGGAGGAGCCGCCGCTGTCTCAGCAGGTTGATTAAAGCATCACAGGGCCATTTTGAACATTTAATTTCCCAGAGCTGCCCCCGGGGAAATCTAGGCCCTGAGCCCCGCTCAGACCCATTAACTGCTGGACTTGCCTCCCAGTCAGCCCGGTGGCGATACCTGGGGAAGGCAGGGGACACGGGGCTGGCGGGTCAGGTTCCTGCACAGGCCTGGGGAGAGAGTCCCCTCCCCCACCTGCTGGGGACATCCAGGACCCCCCCCCACACACACACACACATACACATACACATGCATTCCATACCCAGACAGCCTCTCCTGGGCCTACCCCGCCAGCTTCCAGGAAGGGACCGGCCTTCCAGCCTGGAATTGGGGAACTGGGAAGGGGACCCCATGCGCCCACAGTGCCCTGGCAGAGACCTGGCCGCAGTCACCCTGTGATGGTGGGAACCTGGGCCGGAGGGAAATGGACAAAGTGGACACAGGTCCAAAGCCAGGGCTGGTCTCCGGCCGGCGGACTGGAGGGTCCTGGCTGCTGTTGGGGTCAAGGGCATGACCTCCGGTGCAGGCTCTCCTGGCCCAGACCCTGCTTGGGGTGCATGCAGGAGGCAGCCCATCGATGTGTTTCTCTCACGTTGATATTTCTCTGTCTTTCCCTCTCTCTTCCACACTCTCTAAAAACCAATGGCGACCTCAAATAACCTCGGGTGAGGAATTTAAAAAAACACCAGGGCTCGTGCAAAGTCGCCCCAAACACAATGTGCCCATGACCGGCCCCTCCCCGCAGCGACTCGGAGCCCGAGAGAGCCCTCCCCCGGGGAGAGGGGAGGCAGGGCTCCGGAGGGACCTTCCTTCCACTTGTGCTGCGGGTGTTTAGCCAGAACAGGCAGGAGCTAGGCAGGCTTGGCGCGCCCAGGCTGCCGGACAGTGAGTGCCCGAGGCCCCATGCCAGGACCACACTGGGCATGGACCCATCCTCGTCCCCTCAAGGTGGGAGGGTGAGTCCTTCTCCTTCATCTTAAGGTGCTCCCAGGGCTGTCAGCTCACCAGGCCCCGTCACACCGCCCCTGGAGGGTGGGGTAGGGTGCCTAGGGGAGCAGCCTGCTGCCACAGCCGGGCGAGCCTCGGAGGGAAGCCATTCTGCTCCCCTGTGCCCCTGCCCCCCACCCCGCAGTGCTGAGAGCAGGTGTCAGTGGGAGGGTGAGCTGTCACCACACCAATCCTTCAAGGGCATCTGCTGCCGGGCAGTCCCATCCGCCAGGGGTATTACCCTGAGCCCCATTTTACAGATGAGGAAACTGAGGCACGGAGTAGGGGAGTAACTTGTCGAGACTCACCCCAGGCACTGCCCTGAGGCTGCCACCCCTGGTTCTGCTGCGTCCTCTCTCCTGGGCGCCAGCCTGAAGGGTGTGACCTGGGAGCTCTCCGAAGGGCCGGGGCAGGAGCAGGTGCAGAGGATGGTCAGCCCTCAGTCCCTGAGGGAAAGGGTTGTCCCGGGGAGAGAGAGAGAGGCCAGCAGGGTCAGGCCGGCCTCTGGAGATGGGTCACACAGCCAGCCCACCGCCCTCCTGCCCGCTGCCCACCCGGACCAGCTGGAGGCCCAGGCCCAGGCTCAGAGTCGCGGGCGCCGCGGTTTCAGCACCTCGGCCAGCGCCAGGCCAGCCTCCTCCCGGCCCGGCCGGGCTTCGGGAAGCGGGGTGGGGGGTCCCTCCGTCATTCACTCCTTCGTTCGCTCTGTGGATCGCCCCAGTCCGCCTTGGCTCCCACTGCTCTCACCGCCCCGCTTTCTACCCCAGGACCCCCTGCCCCTGGGGGTGTGTCCGCAGTCAGACCTCCGCTCAGCCTGCGCTGCTCAGGCCCCCAGCCGGCCCCCCACCTCCTTCCTGCGGAGCCCCGCCCGGGGCTCTGCGGCCACTGCGGCCTCCTGGCGTCCGGCTCCGCACTGCAGCCAGGGGAGTATTGAAGGTGGCAGTGTGCTCTGTCCCCAGCCTGCCCGCCAGGGCGCCCCGGGGCACCTCCAGCTCTCAGGGCCCGTCGCCCCCACGCCCGCCATGCCCGACCCCCAAGTCCTGACAGATCGCCTGGGTTTCTCCCTCACAGCTGGCCACCTCCAGCCTCAGGTCAAAGCCGGTGCCACCTCTTCCAGCAAGGCCCCTGCCCCAGACACGCGTCCCCCAGTCCTCGGTCTCCTGTTAGACGCATCCCCGGGCGCCCAGGCTCCCGGGAGTCAGTGATCCTCCAAGGGAAGCGGGCAGGAAGGCGGGCAGACAGCAGGAGCAGACCCCTCCTCCCAGCCCCCTGGGGTCAGACAGGGGGAGCCAGGATCCCTGGGTCCCATCTGTGCTTACACAGCCACATGGGGTCTGGGGGACACTTCCAAGCACAGCCAGCAGGTGGCGCCCCGGGGCCACAGTCTCTGGTGGAAGGAAAGTACCTAAGCCATCACCTGGCTCCGGTTCCCTCTCTTGCAGGCAGGGAAACTGAGGCCCCCGCCAGCCCCGTGGCCTCCCCAGCACCCCTTCCACACCCTCCCTGTGTCCACCCCTCCCCACAGACCTGGGCCCACACCCCACACCCCTGCCTTCCTGCTCCGCTCTGGCACCTGTGGCTCTGCCTCTACCCACCCACATCCTGGGCTCAGCTGCCAGCTTGAGAACAAGATCAAGCAGAGCGGAGGGACACATAGGGGCCAGGGTCCCACAGGGTTCCCCGGGCCCCTTGCCAGAGGCTGAGGTCCGGAAAGCTCTGGAAAAGCCCCCAGGGCAGCTGCATGGCAACCTTGTCACTACTCCGGACATGGCCTTGGCCTCGCCACTTTCCTCCCGACCTCCTGACTGAGAGGTCGCAGGGAGCAGCCAGTCTATGGTCCCTCTTCTCTCTCCCTCTCTCTCATCAATCAATTTTTTAAAAAAAGAAGAAGATGGAACATGGCCACAGAGAGTCTACAGATGTTAAAAAGATTCTCGTGGAGTTTTTTCTTGATGTCAGAGAGGAAGGGAGAGAGAGAGAGAGAAACATCAGTGATGAGAGAGAATCATAAAGCTGCTGCCTCCTGCCACACTGGGGATGGAGCCTGCCACCCAGACATGTGTCCTGACCGGGAATCGAACCGTGACCTCCTGGTTCATCGGTCGGCGCTCACCCACTGAGTCAGGCCAGGGGGCAATAATGGATTTTTATGCCAGTACAGCTGACAGCTTAGCTTAGCTGATTCCTGGGAAGCTATGAACTGCCATAACTCAACTGAGCAGAAGCAGCCTGAGCGCCAGCCTCTGTTAGAGACGCCAAATGCGCAGCCGAAAACCTCCCAGCGGAAAAGCAGCTTCAGGGGCGGGGCCTCAGGGGCAGGCCCTAGGCGGGGCCTCAGGGGCGGAACTAGGGACAGGCCCCCGGAGGCCTCAGAGAGCCAGGGTAGCCCTCTGGGTGGTGTGTCTGCTGGATTCTAGACTGCACGAGGCTTCACGTCGAGTGT